TTATGTCTTAGTCAGCAACAGCATAGGGAAGAAGGGAGGAAAGTAAAACCAGGGGTGGGGAACGTCTGGTCTGGCCCTGATAAGGCAACCACAGGCTGGATTCAAAATTCAATGAACTATAGCAGGCCAATTTTTAAGTTGGTAATTTTGTATGATCTGTGAAGTATATACAAATCCAAACTGCTTTGGCAAGATACAAAGTTCCCCACCCCTGCATGCAACAAAATGTTTGTGGATCCACCACTCATATAAAAGCTAAGTTAAGGACAGAGACCAGAGGTCAGAAAACTATGCAAAAACAAAGGACCAATGCAGAAGTCTGTTGATGGGAAAGGTCAAGAGGAAAAGCAACAGAAAACAAAGCAGGCAGATTCCTTGTTCCCTGCATATAGGAAGCAGTGTTCTTTCCTAAGCTCCAAAAAGAAATAACACTTGCATTCTATTCTGCAAAATAATATATGATATTATTAAGCACGTTATTTTGAAAATAACCTGCTATGAAATATTTTTCAATAGAACAAGTGGGTGATTACAGAAACTATCAATTTTAATTTTGAAAGTAAACATCAAGGATACACTAAAAGCTCCTCAAAAATTAAGGCTTTACATATTATAAGTTAATTTTGTGCTGGCAACAATTCACTAATAGTTTTAATCATATTTATGTGGATTATTTTAAAAGTTAGGTTGGATTTTTACTACAATTACTGTCAGCTGCAATTTTAATCTGTCAGAAACTCAACCAGAAAATTGAAATGATTGGTATTACTTCTTTCTTATGTGCAATTGCCTATTTTGAAGAAACAGAGACAAGTGACAAGTAAGCAAGCAATAAGCAGACATGAGTTATTTAATTCTAATTACTTTTTTAGTTAAGTCTAAGAATCGGCATATCTTATTTCTCCTGTAATCAGATTACCTATGGTACTTCACTCTACTGTTTATGATTTTTTCCCAGAGTATTATCATCAATATAGTAAACAGCCACCAAATAAATGTTCTGTATTAACAGCAAAGAGGACTTATTATGATGATGTTGAGGTAAATTTGGAATGAAAAACTACATATTTTTCAAGTAATAAAGTGATCATTAAAGGAATCAGGGTATATAGGAGTCAGCCCGATCCAGTGTAAGAGAAGAGAGACAGCAGAGGGCAGAGATGAGATCTAAGGCCGCAGAGAGCCCTTCTGGGATGCCCTGGGGCACCAGGCATGGCATGAGGCCAAAGGAAGGGGAGGGGAAGGGAGGAGGAAGGTGAGAGATCCCTGGTTGAAGAGCTACAGGACTCCTGGAGTTTTACCCAAGGGACTGCATGGTCAGATCCAGCTCTCCAAGAGACTTCCTCAGCTGGGGGTGGCCAGGGCAGGAGTCAGTGTGCAGAGAAGTGAGGGGACAAGAGCTTGAGTGTGGGGCGAAGCCAGCGCATTTGAGGTGGAGGAGACAGATGTGTGTGAAAGAACATGAATGCTAAAAGCAACAAATATTTGATAAGTAGTGAATGGATGGTTTTTGAAAGACACTGACTACCAAAAGGCTTTATGTGGTAACTTTTTCTTAACATATCAAGTAAAGTAGCTATGTGGTTCACCACTTTACAAAAATTCATGCCAAAAAAAAAAAAAAAAAAAAAGCAAAACCAACAACAACCAAAACAACCTCCCCGCAAATATTAACTATTATGCAGTCCTACCCTGAACTGAAAAAAATCTTTCTAAAGTAATGAAGCTTCAATCTTTAACACAAACACTAACCCAACATCCATACTACCTGAAAACACATTTTTGTACAGATGTTTAATTTTGTTAAAGAAGAATTAATGCCAGAGTTTGTTTTGCTCGATGTTCAAAATTATTATTTTTCTTAAATACTTCCTTTTTAAAATATTATGGCCTACTGAGCCCTTTAAAACCACTTCTTAAAACAGTAAACATAACATCTCTTAAACAAAACAAACTTTGCTTCCGATTCTGGAAAGCTCTAAGAAATATCTGCTGGAGATGTCTTTCTTAGATCTCTCTTCAGCATGCCCCTTAGCCTGCAGAAGACCACCTTGCCTACCTCATTGAGGTGAGTGGTAGAGATCCTTCAATTCACTACCCTGCTCTGCATGCTCTACCATAGCTGTATCACAGCTATTCTAGTTTATTTAATCCAGTCTCAGTGAAAACGATCCTTTTTCTTAGCTTGCTCTATCTCGGTGGAAGAATGTCCTTCCTTGAATCTGATGGAGTGGAAATGCTAGCTACTGCTCTGCATTTTTGCCTTCCCTACACTTCCCCAGGTCAGGACTATAATTCCACTTTCCAATATTTTCAACCTGCCACTGGTTCTTTGCCAACAGCTCAGCCATATCCATGCTTCTCCCTTCTCCAGGTCATCCTCTATACTCTAACAACCACCCAATTTCTCTACTTCCTTAGGGAATTTTTTTAAAAAAAGTATCATCAGAGGCCAGCATTATGGAGCAGTGGCATTAAGCAACACCTGTGACAACAGCATCCCATACTGGAGTGCTGGTTTGAGCCTCAGTTGGTCTGCTTCTGGCCCAGCTCCCTGCTAATGAGCCTGGAAAAACCAGCTGAAGGTGGCCCAAGTACTCGTGCCCCTGCCACTCATGTGGAAGACCCCAGTGGAGTTCCATACTCCTGGATTTGGCCTGGCCCAGCACTGGCTGTTGCAGGCATTTGAGGAGGCAAATAGTAGACAGAAGACCTCTCTCTCTCTTTCTCCCTCTCTCTCTCTCTCTCTGTCAGTCTTCCTTTCTGTCATTTTGCCTTTCAAACCAAATAAATCTTAAAAAAAAAAAAAACAGTAAAAGCTGTTTTTATATCACTCTGCACATTTGATGAGGAATACCTCACATTTGAAAGCAGAGAGGGAGACTGTCACTTTCCAAAGGCTATCACATATACAAGCAATTTAGCCAGAATTCAAATAAAGATTTTCTTACTAAGGTTTCTTTTTGCATTGTAATAAAAAACTTGATGCCATCAATGCTGCTAACTGTAATTAATTATTGGTTCTTGTGAGTTTTATTGTTTTTCTAAACAGTAATATCATATTCATCCATATTACCTATAGAAGAAATACATCTGGACAGGGAACCACAAAAAACTGATCTTTTAAAATATGCAACATTGCACCAATTTCAAAGCTAAAGGTAGGAAAATGTTGAGTTGGATAAAAAAGTTAAGAGATTTCCAAAAAAATTATACTTGACAAATAAGAGTGAAGCTTTTTCTAAGTTTTAACCTTGTAGAAGATATTATATAAATATCAACATTTTAGTCACTTCTGTGATGAGAAGTATTACTTGTATTTTATTCTATGGAATAAAAGGTACAAAGATGTAACTTATACAAAATGAGTATGAGTGGGAAATGAGGAAGAAACATATATTTTACGTGCCTATTTACTTTTTCAAAATTCAATTTTGTCAGAAATGAACAGCCTGAGGAGTTAACTATATTTTGGAATGACAGTTTTGTTGTGCTTAATTCAGTAACACAGTGACTATTAGCTCAACTAAGTAACATTAAGAATCACAAAAGCTATTATTCATAGTAGAAAATTCCCAGTCTACTCTCTGGTATTTTTATTTTTCTAAGTTCTTGCCTATTCTTTTCAGTTAACTTAAGTGAGTGATTCTTTCAATCAAGTTAACTCCTTAATGTCAGTGGCCCTTTCTCACTCAAGTCTTCATTGCATCACTGTAATACTGTTGGCATTTATTGAGGGGCTACTCTGGGCCAGGAACTGTGTAGGAGTGAATATAATTTGGAAAATGGGTGATCTGGCTGCTATCTGAAGTAGTTAAAGAACATCCATAGCACATGTGATCTCATGAAACTTCTAGAAGAACATTAAAAAAAAAACACATTTAGTCAAGTTAACATTGGCAACTTGCATGAAAATGTAATGTTATGTGTCGTATATATTGACTAACATGCATCTCAACATTACTATCATTTTCAAATGTCATGGTAAACAACTTTTTTGGTTTTACCAAGGGTCTCCACTATTATTTTCAGAAAATGTAAAATATCTGTGTGTGTGTGTGTGTGTGTGTGTGTGAAGGAAGCATTACTAGTGCTGAAAAGTAATGTGACTATTTTTTTCTCTCTGCCAGGTTAGGCCTTTCTGAACATAGGAAAATGGAATCTGGGTTAAAGAACAAACTTTGAAAGGTGAAAAAGGTGGCTCACTGGAGAAGCACTGCCAGAGATTTACCACGTGGGAACTTCTGCTAATATTTTAACCAACTGAGAGCTGGATATTCCCTCCAAGGCACAGGCTGAGCACCCCTAATTTGAAAAGCTTCAAAACATGAAACTTTTGGAGAATCACATCAAAGTTCCAAAAGCTTTGGATTTCAGAGCATTTCAGATTTCAGATTTTTGAATTAGGGACGTTCAACTGGTAAAGTCTATGTAAATATTTGAAGATCTGAAAAAACTTCAAAATCTGAAACACTTCCTGCCCTAAGCATTTCAAGTAAGGACAAAGCACACTGCTTAGCACTGGGGAGGTCTCTGTCGCTCCACAGGACAGGAGAGCTCCTATAGAACGCCTCCATGCTTCAGAGTTCCTCCCCTTAGGTGTAAACTATCCCTTCCGGGATCTGTAGGTACCACGATCTGGCCTGGTCACATTGCTCTCATGGCGGGAGATACGGGTGGGGCTGGTGGAGGCAAAGGAGGGGGAGGAAGTGACAGAGTCGCTCCAGCAACTCTATATTAGTTTTCAGGACAAAGTGAATATAGACATGAGAAACTTCTATTTTAATTTGGGGTTTTAGGGAATAAAGTATCTTTGAAGATTGAATTTCCTTTCACTTGTTTGCAAACAAATCAAGTTACCTCAATGGTTGATAAATGATCTTATTCTGCAATGATAATACACTGATGTCCTTTATCATTTTGTCATAAGATTTGATACAATAAAGTTTGGAAAACAAATGTAAGGCGACTTGTAGAAAATAAAAATAAAAACTACTTACTTGATATTATCAAGACAGCCAGATTCAGGCTTCAGTATGGCAGTATGATGAAACATTTTATACAAAGCAATCCCAAGGAAGATCACATTAAGCTGGAAAGCAAAAAGGTAGTGTTACTTAGCATAACTGGAATGGAAGCAAAGCAAGTCTATTCTGTTGCAGATGAATTGTTCTGGGAAATTTGTTCTCTCTGCACTTACAAAAGAATTGGATCATAGATTAGTATTTTAGTAAAGGCAAGAAGCCAGTTTATTGACTTGGGATACCCTTGAGTTACAAAGCACTACGATGCCAAACACACACTAACACACAATCTACAGCTGTTGCAATGGTGCTGGGGAAAATCATGAAAGCAATCAAAGCCCAGTGTACATTTTAGAAAACTGAAAACCAAACCTAAGCAATGAGAGAAAACAACTAATGATTATTTGGAGTGTGTTCCTGCTTCTACACTCTGAACACAGCTCCACGTTTATTATTTAGGGATACATGTTCAAACCCTACATTACAAACACACAGATACAAAAATTATTTTCTGAATAGCTAGTTCAAAAAGGTGATAAAACGTGGTTAAATTACAATGCTACAACAAAGGATTAAAGTAAAGGGAACCCTCAGTTGTACTGTTTAATCCCTGGAAGCAGGAAAAGCACAAGATTTTAAACAAAACAAAGCAAAAGACTCCAATGTAAATTCCTTATATAACATATATGTAAACTGTGCAGAAAACCTACAGAGCGAATTTACCACTTGAATGGTTTGAACATTCCACGGTTCAGCATGGGTAGAAACTATGACCACCCACTTTAAAGCTGCAATGAGGGGCTGGCTTTGAGGCGTAGTGGGTAAAGCTGCTGCCTGTAACACTGGCATCCAATATGGGTGTGGTTTGAGCCCTGGCTGCTCAACTTTCCAATCCAGCTTCCTGCTAATGTACCTGGGAGAGCAGTGGAACATGACCCAAGAGCTTGGCCCCTGTCACCCATGTGGGAGATCTGGAAGAAGCTCCTGGTTCCTGGGTTCCAGTCGACATCTCGAGAGTGAACCAGTGGATGGGAGATCTATTTATTTCTTGTGTCTCTCTCTTCCTTACTCCCTATAACTCTTTCATATACAAAAGTAAATGCTAAGGAAAAAAAGTTACAGGGTCAATATTGTTATGTAATGGGTTGAGCCACTGCCTGCAATGCCAGCATCCCATATGGGCCCTGGTTAAAGACTCAGCTGCTCCACTTTTGATCCAGCTCCCTGCTAATGTGTATGGGAAAGCAGCCAAAGATGGCCCAAGTGCTTGGGCCCCTGCATCCATGTGGGAGACCCTAAAGTAGCTTCTGGCTTTGGACTGGCCCAGCTCCAGCTAGTCCACCAATATGAGAGTGGTTTGAATCCCAGCTGCTCAACTTCCAATCCAGCTCCCTGCTAATGCACCTGGGAAAACAGTTGAAGATGGTCCACGTGCTTGAGCTCCTGCCACCCACGTGGGAGACCTGGAAGAAACTCCTGGTTTTGGCCGGGCACAGCCCTGGCTGTTGTGGCCATTTGGAGAATGAACCAACAGATGGAAGATCTCTGTCTATTTCTCCCTCTGTCTCTGCAACTCTGACTTTCAGATAAATAAATTGTAAAAAACAAACAAACAAAAAACAAAAAAACTGTACTGAAATGATCTTAATAAGAGAGGCGCACGATGCTTTATCATTCATTCCCAAATCCAAAACCAGGGAAAAGTGAAAGTAAAAAAAAAAATCCATTATGTGGTAAAAAAAAGTATGGACATAAACTTATCCATGGGCTTTATTCTATTTGCCCTTACATTTTCCCATTATTTTTTCTGTTGAAATAAAGCTGTGTTCAGTCACAGTGCTATGAGTCTCTACCATGATCACATCCTGGTTAATGAGTTTGATTCCGGGCAAATGCCTAGTGCTCCGTAGGCATAATATACAACGTGTAAAATGTAAATGTATCATGTTGCCTTTCCAAAGACTGAAAAATTTCAGATTTCCAAAATACATGAGCCCCAATAACTTCAGAGAAGAAATTACTGACCTGTGTTTTATTCAAAGTCTGGGGGTTAACATTTTATTCAAAAAAGGACAGCAATTCTGTGCTTTTGTAAACAGAGATACTGACAATTTTATCTAAACTAGGATTAAGTAGTTCCTACTTGAAATCAGGGAGTTATGCAGGCTCCACTGGAAAGCGAAGCACAATTCCAGAATGCATGCTCAATCTGGTTTTGCCATTCTCAAGTACAAGTCTTCTAAATTTTGCACTTTTCAAGATTTATATAGGAACTGAACAAGGTGTAAGGAACAGTCTGGTGTTTTCACACTTTTCCCAGTCTTGTCTGTTTCCCATTCAAGTTATCCAAATGAAAAAGGATGGAAATAAACTGATGTCAAAGTTAAAGCCATCACTGTTCAAATATTTTTTTTTTATAAAACCAAATGGATTATGTTGGATTGGACTACTGAGTTGCTCTACATTGCATAAAGTCTTGCAAATGCATGTTTTCTTCTCCCACTGGCTTTGATGAACTATTTTACAAAATATAAGTAGACTATAATGAGTGTCTAATTGCCTGAGTTATGTAGGGTCAAATATGTACATGCTTTCCCCGAATTAACCTATGTAAATTAAAGATAGTCAGTGCAGGGATAGCAAAAGTTTTATTTCTTGACCTGAAAAACACACAGTTAATTAGGAGTTCTTACCATAATTATCAAGGTCGCGGGTCCTATAAAACTCCAAATGAAGTAGGTGTCAAGTCGGAGCCAACATCTGCAATGAAACACAAGGGAGAGAAGGCAGTCAAGGACTGGGTATGGGACATACATCAAGAGTGAGCGAGTGACAGAGAGGAATGTGAGCTGCAAAGCATTCCACTGGGAGACAGGAAATATTACATTGCTTGTTCATTTAAATGCTGAATTATGTGCCCAATTTCTGACAGCACTATTGATGGAGTAAGATAATTACCCCTGGAGGAAGCAGGGAAAAATGGCACTGGGCCTATTTGCTAAGGCCTTCTGTGTCTGTCATAGAAACCTTTAAAAAAAGAAGGGAAGGAAGGAAGAAAAGCCATACACATAGCTATTAATTCAAGTAGCTTTAAGCTATCCTTTTCTCTCCAATTATGGTGCTACATAACCTGTCTTTCAGCTGTCAGGCAAAGTGACATTTTCCTGTCAAGAAGATCTGAGGAATTCAGTACAAAGAAGAAATAAATTTGGTATCAGAGGATTGAAGTTTAATTAGGTTGGGCAGCCAAGCTTTGAGAGTTCTTGAGTCTTAAAAAGTGCATTGTTACTGCTCGTACTTCTGGGGTTGCAAATGATCCTTAGCATCCCATGAAGTTGATTCATGACCCAGAAGTAAATTATTAATCACTTAATTTCAGCCACATTTAATACTCCCCCAATTCTTGAAACCTCTGGGAAATTACATTTCATTCTTCAGGATGACAGGAAGACAAAATGGAAGTGACTACTGATGAGAAAGATTAATGTAAATTTTGAACAAATTACATTTGATGTTAAAAACAATATCTTAAATTATTTGCCAGTTGGCTGTATTTGAGGCACAATTAAAACAAATTTCCAGTGGTAAATATTCATGATTGTTTGTTGCATGGTCTAAACCTGCAAATCATAAGGGCTTCAATAATTCTGTGACTACAAACATTTTACCTAATAAACCTAGGCAACAGTAGAATGCAAGAAAGGAAGGAATTTATAATATCTATCAATAAAGGAATAAATAAAATATTTTCTATTCATAGTTTGAAATGTTATAAAGCAGTTAGAAAGGCGAAAGATCTGCATATGTCAATAGTATAGTTCGAAATAAAATGAAGTTGAATGAAAAGATGAGCTAGGGAATCTACGCCATCTATATGCATTAAACAATTGGATGTTACATACACATGCACACATGTCAAAATCCTTACACCAAAACAGTATTTTATGTTTTGATGAATGCATTCATATATGTAATTTTTTTAATAGGAGAAAAAAATCACCAAACTCAGGTTAATGGTTGCCTCTCACATGAGAAAAGACTAAAAATGCAACAAATGTGCTTTAGTTATGTTTTATTTGAATAATTATTGACTGTTTATGTATCAAAATGCTAACAGTCTTAATGTCCGTGTGGTGAGAGCAGTGATTTTGATTATGTTGTTTTTTTCTTTTCTGCAATCATCTTGGCCTAAAGTAATTTTAAGTTTTAAATGATCTCATCAAATGTTTCACTAAAATAAAAAAAAGTCATTCAATGTTAGCTTTACAAAGCTTTAATTTTCTTTTTTTAAAGTTGTCTCCATTTAGCAGATCCTTCATTTGAAAATAGGACGTTCAATGGGTGATCTTTAAACATGAAAGTGAAATTAGAAATTATTTTTATTCTTTAAGAAAACTCTTCAATGTTGGTTTGGTACAAGAGAATTAAATTCCCTTTGGAAACTGAAGAGTGAAAGAAGCAATACGGAAACCCTGAAAACGTCCTAAGTCAGTTATCCCTTCAGGGGGGCCAGCCAGCTCTCCCATCTTCTGGAAGACTGTGTGGCAAGAATCCCGTTTCTAATTTGATTGCCATATGGCCACACCTGCTGTTGTTTTTGGCTACACGCTGGCTTTCTCTAAGCTTTCTGCCTTTCCTCTCTTCCAAATTAGCTACCTTAAAAATGCACATGATTCTTGCTTTAGTTCACCGTGCATGTGCTGACACACATGCACATTTCCCTGGTTTAAGTTGGAGAAGAGTATTATGTCAGTGTATACATGCATGCCTGGGCACACAGAGCTTCAAAAATCTGACTCCTCAACGTCACTTGGATACAATGCAAAATCACTGGTTGAGGGGAGATCGGGATGAATTATTGACACTAAAGATACAAGAAGCACCATTTACTGCATAAAGCATACTTAAGTACAATTTGCAGATGGACATATAGATCTGCTAAAGAAGAGTTTGATTTATTTGAATGTTGCCTTCATCTACCAAGAAATATTTCATTTGTGATATTTGTAATTTTGGTAGACTAGGCTTAAATTTTTAAAATACCTCAAATATCTTGATATATATAAAATATGTATAAAATATAAACTAAATATATATATAATCTATACATTATGTTTAAAGAAGTAGTGCAAAAAAGACATGATTTATTGTTAAAGAACAAGTGCATTATGACTACATTACATGTATATTTGAAGTCATACTAAAACCATTTGAAGCAATATATATATATATATTCTGGAATTCAAAACAGGGCTTCAAATATTACAAACTCTGACTTGTCCTTTTTCTCATTTATTTAATACAAATAAATCATTGAAAATGTCTTTTGTAGCTTATTTTTTCAAATAATAAAAGCTACATATATTTATACATGATAAAGTTTTACTGATGGGGCTGGCACTAAGGCGTACTGGGTGAAGCTGCCACCTGCAGTGCCAGCATCCCATATGGGCGCTGATTCATGCCCCGGCTACTCCACTTCCTATCCAGCTCTCTGCTATGGCCTGGGAAAGCAGCAGAAGACAGCCCAAGTCCTTGGGCCCCTGCACCTGCGTGGAGACCTGGAAGAAGCTCCTGGCTCCTGGCTCCAGATTGGCATAGCTCCGGCCATTGCAGAGTGAACCATCGGATGGAAGATTTCTCTCTCTCTCTCTCTCTCTCTCTCTCTCTCTCTCCGTATATATATGCACCTCTCTGTAACTCTTTCAAATAAATATATAAATCTTTACAAAATTAAGCGTTTTGGCCAGCGCCATGGCTCACTTGGCTAATCCTCTGCCTGCGGTGCCAGCACCCTGGTTCTAGTCTCGGTTGGGGCGCCAGATTCTGTCCCGGCTGCTCCTCTTCCAGGCCAGCTCTCTGCTGTGGCCAGGGAGTGCAGTGGAGGATGGCCCAAGTCCTTGGGCCCTGCACCCACATGGGAGACCAGGAGAAAGCACCTGGCTCCTGGCTTTGGATTGACGCAGTGTGCCAGCCATAGTGGCCATTTCAGGGGGGTGAACCAACGGAAAAAGGAAGACCTTTCTTTCTGTCTCTCTCTCTCTCTCACTGTCTACCTCTGCCTGTCAAAAAAAAGTTAAATGTTTTACTGAATAAATATGCTACTGGTTTCAGCACTTTAAAAATTGTGTTAGAAGTAGGCATTTGGCCTAGAGGTTAAGCTGATGGTTTGCACACACCTACACCTTATACTGGCATTCTTCAAGTCAAGGTGCAGATCTGTTTCTGACTCTAGTTTCCTGCCAGTGTACAACAGGTGATGTTGCAAGAAGTTGGGTCCCTGCCACTAATGTAAGAGACCTGGATTGAGTTCTGGGCTCCTGGCTTTGGCCTGACCTAGCCCTGATCATTGCAGGTATCTGGGGAATAAACCAATAAACAAGAGTATTTTTTTTTCTCTCTCTCCTTTCATCTCCATCTCCATCTCTCTCTGTCTCTGCTTCTCAAGTATAAATAATTATTTAAATTTTTACAAAGCTAGTGCTAAACCACAAGGATAAACTGTTACTCTTCTTCAGAAGTATTCCCTTCCAAAATGTGAAAACATCATTACAAATTAATCATAAAAGTGTCGATATCTTCACAGAAATGTCAATTACCGTTCCAACAAGTACCAACCACCTTCATGATTATTCAGAAAAAAAGAAAATAATTTCTCAAAGCAGATGATAGTAATTTCACAATACTAGATAACACAAACCCCGATGACCAAAGTTTATCCTCTTCCATTGCTAAACTACTCCTCTTCATTTTATCGTCTGTCATTTTGGAAAGTCATGGTTCTGTATTTAGAAAATAATATGGCCAGCACTTCTTGACCTTTGGTTAAGATCAAGGGTAGAAAATGATATGGGTAAATAATCAACATACACTCATGTCACCTAAAATGTACACCTTACAATATCTGAGAACACTAACAACAGGGCCACAGTGTAGTGCCTTCATCTGAGTCAGCACACGTGTGCAGTGCCATTAAGATGCTTTGGGAGACTGCGCTGTTCGTTTCATTTACTCTTATGAAAGTAGACATGTGACTATCCAAGTTTTTTGAAGTAACAGACTTTAGCTCTGCTGTTTACTTCATTTCCTACAGGATGTTAAATCATAGACTCAAGTTTCCTTTATATTAAATGTAAACAGTAACAATCTTGGCTACCGTCAGACCATGCAATTTACCCGGCTCAATTACATCAGGTTGGTCATGAGGGTTTCTCAACTATATAACCTCCTTGCTCTTTTACAGATGCAGATATCTCTATATTTGTACCAGCTATATGGTTATATATGGCTTATACCATATACAATGTCAGGAGAATGAGGAAAAAATAATAAAAAGAAGGAAGGAAAGAAGGAACAAAACAGGAAAGGGACAGATACATCAATTGTAATAAATTTAGTTCTAAATTTATTGCATTGTACATTTGTTAAAGTTTTTTAAGTGCGCTTTCCATCACGGCACACTCATAAACCAAATCGTCTTTAAATACTTTGTGACCGAGTGTATAAATTGGACAGGTTGCCACAATAATACAGGAATGTGGTGACATCAGTGTTAGGCAAGACTAACACTTATTTATACAGCTACAGTTCTGGCTCTTAGAATTAAAAACAAGCTCTAATGTATGAAATACAGCATATGTTGTCCTTATGTTCCCAACCTTTTATTCTTTTTAAAAAAGAACTTTACTATATCACCAGCAACATATATCTTACACTCATATGATGGACTACACATGTATGAATAGCACTATCTGTTATAA